GAGCTGGTGGTCAAATTGGATAAGGCGCTTGACTAAAGCTTAGAAGATTACAAGTTCGAGTCCTGCCGGGGTCACATAGAATACAACTTTGTTTACTGAACAAAATCTAAGATTAAAAGCTATCTACAATTTATGCAGTAACTTAGACCTATATCCTCAACCAACCCACCACTTGGGTCCTAGTAACATCTGGCTATATACTACCTTACAAAATGGTCTTGACCACGTTATCTTTGATCCTGCCATACATTTGTCTTCACTTTTTATTTATTTTCGAGATTTTCATTAGCTTTATAATTTCTCATTATCATTACCACCATCGTCGTTTGCAGCGTCGGTATTGTAGGAGTACAATTTGGAAAGACAAACAAATCCACGCTGGATTATCGTTGACTGGTACAAAAACGAAAATGTATTCATTTTGACTTAGTGCTCAGACTGGTTTGCAATGTTATGTGAAGAAACAAATTGATTACATAGCATCAAGTTTCTAGCTAGAATTTTACAAGACACGTATTTCACATGTTAACAAATAAACAACAATTGAAAGTCTCTTCTGTTTCAGATGGAAATGCTTAATTCATGCAAACAAATTAGAAATAATGTCGACGTGAATATTGATATAATGACTCTTTTGAAACAAGAGATGACGGTTTACAACACTGTTGTTCACATAATTGTTTAAGGCATGCATTTGTTTTAAAAACCCTGAAAGTGTACTTGGATTATCATATCATGGGGATATTAAAGATACGATTTGTAACCTAGCCCCGAATCAAAGCAAACAAGACACAGAAAGACTACAATTTTGTAAAACATCGTTTGCCATTAAAGTGCATAAATGTTGTTAAGAACGAATGAAGTCATTGTATTACATAGAATGAAATACCTGGAATTTCCAACGTTTATAACACCTCTGCGTGTAAAATACATGAATTTACAGGCTTTTATGATTTCCAAGAACAAAAGTCTCTTTTCGTTCCGAGTAAGATATTTAATTTGCACACATTTAATCACTGAAAATTAATACACCTGTCTTTCAATACACCAGTTTGTGTAGTCTTGGATTACAAGTAATAAATATTTACATAAAATGAACAGAAATACTGTTGAAAAACTAACAAAGATTTATACCCCGTTTATACTAATACATAAAAGCCATGTGATTTTGTATGTATGTATGTATGTATGTATGTATGTATGTATGTATGTATGTATGTATGTATGTATGTATGTATGTATGTATGTATGTATGTATGTATGTATGTATGTATGTATGTTGTTGTTGTTGTTGTTGTTGGGCTTAACGCCATTTTTCAGCACACGATAGGCTATTCATGGCGGCCAGTATTATTGGTGGAGGAAGAAACCGGGAAATCACCGGAAAGAACCACCGACCCACGAGAAGCTACTGGCAAGCTTTCTCACATATCTACATTAGCCGAATCCTAGACTCGAACACACGAAGACAGAGGTGAGATGGCAGTGATCCGTAACGGACAGCGCTTTAGACCACTCGGCCACTCGGGGCCCCGTATGTATGTATGTATGTATGTATGTATGTATGTATGTATGTATGTATGTATGTATGTATGTATGTATGTATGTATGTATGTATGTATGTATGTATGTATGTATGTATGTATGTATGTATGTATGTATGTATGTATGTATGTATGTATGTTTAATAGAATCATACGTTACAAATCGCATGGGTTTTAATGTGTTGGTATAAAGCAATTTGATATAGCAATACTATTGGTATATCGAATTTTAATCTGCCCTCGGCGCAATAATACGAATATATAAACATTCTTGGCACTGTGTTCTGTCGGTTCTATTCGAATAACTCCATGACGAATTTCCACTCATTAATCATTAGTAACATATAAAAATGACAATAAGACAATGATACAAAGTAATAATAATGATCCTCGTTTTCTAATTAAATCAACATGGTACAAAATTTCATCACCGTACATTCTTCTTCCGTTTCCCACTTCCCTCTCACGCATAATGGACAAAATACGCAGAAAATCAGGAGTGAGAGAGAAAAAGAATTTGGCTGGATGGAAACCTTGAAATTGAACTTGCACCATGTAACCTAAAAGAAATACGGTTTGCCGTAACAGTATGTGTACACTTTACCAAGGATCTATCTACAGTGATCATAATATCAATCATACAAAGTTGAAAAAGCTTGTGTTTGGTATCTGGGCATAAGTACAATAAGAGTTTTTAATACTTTGTTGCTGCTGCTGCATTTGTTGTTGTTGTTGTTGTGTGTGTGTGTGTGTGTGTGTGTGAGAGAGAGAGAGAGAGAGAGAGAGAGAGAGAGAGAGAGAGAGAGAGAGAGAGAGAGAGAGAGAGAGAGAGAGAGAGAGAGAGAGAGAGAGAGAGAGAGAGAGAGAACTTTATAGTCGGTAGTAATGTTAATTTAAGCGGAATAATGACTGGTCAACTGCAAATATATTTAAAAAGTTTAATTGCCTCTTGTCGGTTCGTCATTTCGCTTGGTTTCTATTCAACATTAAATTCCATGCTCGTGTACGTGAATGGCTGACATTTCAGTGTTCAAGAATGTAATGGCGTGTTTGTAGTGCTCTACATTCTTCATTAAATCCATATTTATTGAACAAATCATAAGTGTCTTATATTGATTTAATCAATGTGAAAAAAAGTAGAAACTGGAGAAAGAAAAACAATCAACTTATCAATATGCAATGATGATTATAAATATACAAAAAGAGAAACACATAACTACATTTTGTAGCGGTCACACTCGGCAGGGATGAGTACATTCAGACGGTTAATAACAGTACATTCATATACATACATCTACATACATACATACATACATACATACATACATACATACATACATACATACATACATACATACATACATACATACATACATACATACATACATACATACATACATACATACATACATACATACATACATACATACATGCAAAATAGCATGGCTTTCAAAGTGCTGGTTTAAAGCAATTTCATATACCAATTCTGTCGATATCCTTCTTTAGGTGTTATAAAACCTATTAATATGGGTCTTAAAACAGAGAGTTTAATTTTAAAAACTATGATTGACGCTCTACATTGCTTCAACATTTCTCTCCCTGTGTGGGGTGATAAGACAGCAGCCTAATTGACTAATAAAGAAATAGGAATGGGCAAGGAATAAATGCCTTTATGGCAAGTGTCTTTAACCCCACAACAATCTCTCTCTCTCTCTCTCTCTCTCTCTCTCTCTCTCTCTCTCTCTCTCTCTCTCTCTCTCTCTCTCTCTCTCTCTCTCTCTCTCTCTCTCTCTCTCTCTCTCTGTACCTTCATTTAAATGTTATAATTACTTTTATTGTTGTTTAAATCATAAGTCTCTCATATTTAATCAATATGAATGAAAATATAAGTTCAAAAACCAAAATATGTCACTTATTTGGAAATGAGACTGATTACTAGGAAAACGCCAAGAACTGCGTTTTGTAACAACACACTGTATAGGGCTGTGCTGAGATCATTCATTTTGTCAATACACAGTTGTTTGTAGTCAATCTTACCTGTGTTGGAAATGCAAGGATGTTTAAAATCAAAGGTCTTAATGTTTCCACATCTACAAGCAGATATTACTTTATTGTCATAAAACACTGCAGTAACGTGACTTGTAAACTCCTAAACGTAAATCACACCTAATATGAAGTCAAATCTGTTTTACATTAATGTACATAATCGACCTATCTCAATAACCAATGACCTCGACATCTTTTGTTTTTCGTCATATCTTGTGTAGTCATTTCATTTTCCGTCAGCATTTCTTTTGTAAGCAAATTTTAACAATTACGACATTTTTGTTTCGTTTTCAATGCTTTTTCATCAACAGGGTAGTAACATTAATCGTTGTCATTATCGTAGTCATATTATTATTAGTAGTCATCGTACCGTTAGTCTACAGTAAAAGTAGTAGTAGTAGTAGTAGTAGTAGTAGTAATAATAATAATAATAATAATAATAATAACAATAGTAGTAGTGGTAGTAGTAGTAGTAGTAGTAGTAGTAGTAGTAGTAGTAGTAGTAGTAGTAGTGTTGCAGTAGCAAGCAAAACCATCTACACACGTGCGAATGAGTCTACATGTGAAAAGCCAATGGTCAAATTGGGTACCGCGCATAACTACGGATCAGGAGATTGCAGATTCGAGTCCATTCAGAAAGGTGAAGTAGGAGGAGATAATGGTATTCATGCAATTTAAGCTCGCTGATAAAACTCTGCTATCTCGGGTATTTGCATCTATACAGATGTTGGTTTTCTGATATAATAACTTGCCCATAATGCGAACAAATGAGAATTGTGCAATAGAAAAATAATAGACTTGTCAGCGCTTGTTTTATCTGGAAAACTTATCAACTTCGACAGGTATAGGCATCATTATGATCATCATCATCATCCGAAGTAGTAATGGTTTTAGTAATCGCCGTCAACAATCGTCGTAGCACTTGTGGTAGTAATAGTAGTTGTCGTAGTCATACTATTAGTAGTAGTAGTCATTGATAGTATTAGCAGCTGCAGTTGAAATCGGCATCATCATCGTCGTCGTCTTCTAAAAGCAATAGCATCAACAGTAGCAGTAGCAAGCAAACACCAACCCGCATACGAATGAGCCCACATGTGACGGGCTACTACCAAAATTGGACAAGGCACCCGAATACGCATCAAGGTCGAGTGCTGCTGGGCTCATTTGGAATATATTTCCAACAGGTCAAATATATCTAATGAAAAGCTACTATACCATCATCAACAAGTAGAATAGACATCACAATTTGCCAAATAATTTGAACAACTTAGACACATAGACAAAATCCCTTCCATGTTGCTTAGTCAAATCTGAGTATATATATATATATATATATGTATATATATATATATATATATATATATATATATATATATATATATATATATATATATATATATATATATATATATATATAAAACCATGCCAAATTGTCTTGTGCACTTAACGTTTGCCGTCATTTCTTTTCTTTTTTGTCAGAAGAT